CCTGGGCCTGCCTGGTTGCCTGCCTGCCTGTCCAGGGTAGTAAGTTGGGGGGCCCTGATGGAAAGTCGGGGAGGCTGGGCCCCAAAATGACTGAATGTAGCTATGGGCCTGGTGATAGGGAAAGTTTACTGGCATGTAGACTGGCAGTGTTATTCTTTAACTGGCAACACCATCTTCGCTGTTATTAAGGCCCAGTAATTTAAGGATCCGTTTTCCTGCCCATCACCAGTACCTCAAATCAGCGAACTCAAAATATTAAACCTAGGGTAAATTATGAAGTCAAAATTATCATCACCCCAACTAGTCGGACTCCTAAACTACCATTTTCATCTGAGCGAGCTGTGCCACTCAGTTGATCTCACAACTGAGACAGCGAAACTTAATTCCTTAGTAAAGGCATTCCATCAGTCCTATCCCCATTCACTTCATGTCACAGTGACTTCAGATTAGAACAATGCATTAAAGAGGCTCTAAAAACCATAAAAGTCTTTGACCTGCCTTATCTACTTGGACTTTTGTCCCTCTTTATCTTGCTATTTATATTCTATATAATCCAGATGAACAGTTCCCTCCTCTATTTTACAAGTACAAATGGCTCCCAGGCCCACTGATAATATCATGCAATGTCAAACGGGTTAAATGTATTCTCCCCAATAATGTTCTCTTTAAAGATTAGAAATAATAGCACTCAAATGACACGACTTCTGATGTTCATAAACGAACATTTAAAATATATTATGTCATTTATACCTCATCTTTCCCCCAATGGGGATGCAGAGTGGCTTGTATCCTCCTTCTCTTCTGCTTTTCTACCTTCACAACAACCCTGTGAGGTAGGCTGAGAGTGTGTGACTGACCCAAAGTCACCCAGGGAGCTTCCATGGTAAAGCAGGGACTCAAACCTGGGTCTTCTAGATCCTAGCCTGACACTCTAACCACTACACCATGCTGACACATGAAGCTGCCTTATACAGACTCGGACTATCAGCCATTCTAGGACCTTCAGCTTGGCAGTGGTTTTCCATCGATTTCAACCTTTCCAGTCTTGTACTGCTAAGAGAGATGCTAGAGATTGATCTTGGGACCTTACACATATACACACGAACTGTGATCCCCTCACCCCGATATAAAAAGATTAACACATTCATATATTTCTCACTGTATGACTTAATCAAATTACTCTGACCGATAGGGTGGTCAGGGTACGATGATAAGAAAAAGGGAGCTTCCACACACTAGGCCTTTCAAATTGCCAAGTTGTTAAAAAGAGGATGCACATCTCTTACATTCTGCATTTGTTTGTGGATTCGAAGAATTGAATATGTTTTCCAAAACGGTGTCCTGTGTTGTTTCATTTTGTTTTCTATTTTCAATTACTCTTGGGACAAGAATCTGGGTTTGGATAATTAATATTACAATTGAATCCACTGATTCAGATTCTATTTCTGACATTATTTCAGGTCAGAGGCATATAAATAGATACTGCAAGAAATATTATTGGTATACAAGATATTGGAAAGGAAATGTTCATATTTTAATTCTTTAATGCAGCATCATGTTTTGCAGGATTTTATTTAGAAGCAAACTCTACAAGTACATTTAATAGAAAGCCCAATACCATTTTTGATTCCAGCATTCAGCTCTTACATTATTCTGGAAGTGGCCTGAGCTGATGCATTATGAAATTCTATATTATTTCCCCCCATTTTGGTTTTAGATTTTACTATTTCTTCTTTAATATAACACTGTCATGTCAAACTAAACGATGACATTTACGTAAACCATGCGAACCACCAATCAAATACAAGCAGATACCTGTTTAGACTGACATTCAAAACTTTTACATGCAGAACAAAAGGTCCTCTAAACAGGACACTTGAGAATCAGGACCATAATCTTGACATGCAAACAGCCCTTTTGGCACCAATGCAATCTAGATGGCAGCGACATTCTCTATCACAAGCACTGGACGTAGGAACAGAGTAAGACAGAAAACATTTTAAGACCCCAGGCAATATCTAATTACAAAGACAGACTATGATTCTTCTCTTAAAGACCATGTCATATGTTGCTTTCTGCTTCATTGTGATAACTTCTGCATCAGGATTCAGGAAGCGTTTATACTGGGGTGGGGGACTTGTATCATAAAAAAGTATTGATGTTTTCTGCTATAAGTCCACATCAGCCTGATGTTACATGTATCAAATGAAACATCCAGAAGTCACACATTGATGGTTCAGACACAACACCAAATCACTATGTAAAGAAGTCTTGCCCTCATGCATGCCCTTCCCTCTCATGCTGGGATTCAATTAATTTTATCATGTTTAGGGCAAACCAGAGTTCACTATTAATCTGAAACAGCAAGTTATCATTTGCATATACCCTCCAACCAAAGTCTGCAAACTGTCTTCTGACCATGGTACAAACAATAGTTTGCCAACTGAGATTTAGTGATAATCAATAGTTTGTGTTGAACAGGAAGAAACTGCTCAAACTGCAGCACATGAGAGGAAGGTTAAGTGCTTGTTCACCTAACTGTTAATCATGGTTTAGTGTTATGTTCAACCAACCCTATTACATTGTGGAAAGTCACTAAGTAAAATTTAATATCACACTTCATAAATTATTTTTAGATGAAAGCTGTTTGATCTCAGTTCTAAAACTTCATAACTTTTATGTATCTGATATCTGATCATTCGCACCAAAAGAGAGAAATCAGTCTGTGACTGGGTTATGCATCAAATGCATGGCTGCACTAGCTGTTTAAAGGTAAAGGTAATGGTTCCCTTGCTCGAAAGCCAGTCGAATCCGACTCTAGGGTTGCGGTGCTCATCTCCGTTTCAAAGCCGAAGAGCCAGCGCTGTCCGAAGACGTTTCCGTGATCATGTGGCTGGCATGACTAAACACCAAGGCGCACGGAACGCTGTTACCTTCCCACCTAAGTGGTACCTATTTATCTACTTGCAATTTCTTGCTTTCGAACTGCTAGGTTGGCAGGAGCTGGAACTAGAGATAGGAGCTCACTCCATCATGCGGCACCCGGGTCTCGAACTGCTGAACTACTGACCTTCCACACCCTGCACTAGCTGTTTACTAGGGGCCAAAGCCAATCTGCAGTAGCTGGATATGAACAAGTAACAAAATCTTTGACCCACTATCTGCACTGGCATATGCCAACAGGGAGATGTGCAGTGTTACTATATTTAAAATTGGGGGGGGGGGGGGGGTTGTGAGATTTTGACAGTTTCAGCACATTGTACTTCAGAAATGTGTGGGCAGAGGAACCAGCTATTTTATATCACAACATGTAGTCTGGTAGGAGCACTCAGAATGCATGAGATCAAAACAGGAATATGGTTAACACTAAACAAAACCCAATCCACATCAGTAGGACCAGAGCTGTACCACTACTGGCATTAGTACAATACTGCAACCACACAACATGAATAGCAAGAACCAAGACCATAGCCCAAAGAACCACAACAGAGCATAGTCAGGCAAAATGACAACAACATCCCATATACTAACCATGCAACACATTTGGATGTTCCACTACAGAACTCACAACTTTTATAGCTATATTTCTATTGATCAGAATGGGAAGGATTTAGAATAAGACGGAACAGAAGGGAACACATGCATAAGCTAGGGTTGCCGCCGGCTCTGGGTTGGGAAATACCTGGAGATTTTTGGGGTGGAACTTGACAAGGGTGGGGTTTGAGGAAAGATTTCAGTGGTGTATGATGCCACAGAATCCACCTCCCAAAGTGGCCATTTTCTCCAGATGAACTGACCTCTATCGCCTGGAGATCAGTTTAATCCCAGGAGATTTCCAGCCACACCAGGAGGCTGACAAACCTCGCATAAGCTTATACACCATACTACCACAGAGTGTTTAACACCATGATTTCCATGGAAGCACTCACCAGACTGGGGAGACAGTGTTTCAGAGATTAGTTTGGGCATGAACGGGCTGTAAATTCCAGCATCTATGGAAACCCTTTTGCCCTGAACAGCAATTTACAGAAGGGCCACTTTGAGGAGAGGCCTCTCCAACCCCAAAGCAAACTGTCAACAAATTGCACTAATAGCTGTTGTTATTTTAACGCACCCCTCTTCCCACTTGTTTAGCAATTTGGGGCCTCAGTTGTTGCTGATCCTGACCCTGCTAGAACACAAAGAAGGCCTCACATGAAAAATGCTGTTATGGTTCTTCCCTCTTAAAGTTCCATAACTTCCACTTGTAGCTGGCACAAATTCAGTCCATTTGCAGAGTGAGGGAGCTGGCAGCAAGACAAAAAAAAAAAAAAGAGGCACAAACATAGGCCCAATGACTTTCTTTGTAGTCAGGCTGCTGAATTAAGAAGTCTTTACTGAAGACTCAGTGTCAGCTTTCTAATTTTCTCAGTCCTGATCTACTACATTGCAAGTTTTTAATAACCAGACTTACATAGAGATGGGGAAAATATTTAGAAATCCTAGGTGCCAGTACATAATTTTGAGCAATTAGGCTCCTGGGACTGATACAACTCTAGAGACCAAACTGGCACACATGCTGGACTTCAGAGGCAATCCTATCTGTGCTGCAGCAGGCTTCAGCTTCCCAGCGTTCTGAAGAAATTCAAAAATAAAGTTGAACTCTGATTAAGTCCATTTCAGAAGGAAACACAGATTTTCAGAACAAGCTTTTGTTGCAAAGGATCCGGTAAAGGAAGATGAGTCACTTGCCTAGCCAGTATCTAGTGTGGGAGGAGAGCATGTCACAGAACAAAGCAAGCCCTGGAACTGCTCTATCCAAAAGCCTGGCTCAACCGAATTTTAATATTGATGGAACACAGCCCGCAAAAATAAAAGAAAAGCAGGTGAGAATAAAGACCATCACCACCCTTTGGTTTAGCCCTCAGTAGACTTCTGTCTGCTCTCCAAATCTTCCAAGGAGTTTCCACCCTCTCCAATACTCCAACCCAGTGCCAAAAATACCCACAGAGATGCCTCACCCTTTTTACGCACATCCCAGACTGCAGCATGAAAGGACGATCACCACCTCCTCCAACCACAGAGGAAGAAGGGAGAAGAGAGACGGATATTAGGCCACGTGACCCTGAAGGCTCACACCCCCTTCTCCTTTAAAAAAGAAGCAGATTCAGGTTATTATACATCCCCATGTCAAGTCACTTTCATACCCAAGAACAAGTGACAATAAAAGGCATTATGAGAATTCGTATGTTTATGTAACTAACAGTGACTAAGAAATTGAGCTATGAATCAGAAATGGGTTGCATTTCACCTCTGCCAGGAAATCACAAGATGGCCTTATGCAAGTCACTTTCTCATCAGGAACGTGTGGATAAATACTACTAACTTACAAGATATGGGTCATTGTCACACCAGCTATTTAGCCCAGATTGGGAGCTCCTGGGAAGCTGGGCTTTTCTCCTTGCTTCCACACAGTTTCACAGTGCACCCATGCATGCTACAAGCTTTGCCTTGACCTCTGTGCTTTCTTTCCAAAACCTGCTTTATTACAGTCTTTTTGGATGGCATGTGGATGGGAAAGTCCAGATTTTTTCTGGTGCTGCCCATATTGGTGCCATTTTCCCTGCTGCCCCAGTCTTCAGCAGTGAACACACATGAACACTCACACCAATAGGGGGAGGCCTTCTTTAAAATCAGCAATCGCTAGATCGCTGTCTTATTATAACAATCTGTCTTATAGGTCTAATGTACATCTCTTAACAAAAGGAGGCAGTGACTTGTTTTACATGGAAGATAGGAATTCAGAGGACTTAGAGGATAAATTATTACAGTGATATACTGGTCTAGAAATTGCTGATGATGGCAGAAAAGTGGGGTATAAATTATATAAATAAATAAATGGGAGAAATGCTGAGCCCCAGCAATGATGCTAGTGTCTCAGGGGCTCAACCAATATCAACACTTTCTCCCATGCCGCTGGCCCCAACTGCATGGCCACACCTCCGATTCTCACCTTGGGTGATCAGGTGAAGAACGGGCAACGTGTGCCAAGCAAAATAACTTAGCACACACTTGTTTGGCCCATGTTCCACAAGTTATTTACCCCTTATTAGACAAAAAGCTGTACATAAACGATACTGTTCTAACACTACTGAATTAATCCAGTTTAATTTATTCTCTTACAGACGTGAACAAAACTGCAAAGCTCTTTATTTATCCATGTGCAAATTCTGTGAAGAAGGTTTAAGCAAGAGAAGTAAGGCTGCCCAATGCCACCCAACAAGTTCATTGCTGAGTACAGACTTGGCTCTTACTACACTAGGCTGGTTTTTATAACTTTATTTAGACAGCCACAGCATGAGAAACACAGGAAGCACATGAAAGTGTGTTTTGTTCAAAATAAAAAAAAAAAAAAAAAAAAAGTCGTGGGGGGGGGGGGGGGGAATCTAATAAAACGCTTAGTTTAGAACTACGGAGCAAACCTTAAGTTCCCAACCTGACACTTGTCACACAATGCTAATGTGTCAGATTTCTGCAAGGGTAAATCAGTGGGTGGGGAGGAGAATGTTTAAAAATACACAGACCAATTCCCTTCCCCCCTCCCCATCCTCCTCATACCTGGCCTCTGAAACCAGAAATGTCTGGCTAGGGGTTGGAGGCATGAAACAAGTTGTTATGGGCTGGTATGGCATAGTGGTTAGAGGCCCTGGGACAACTGGGTTCGAATATCTCACTCAGCAATGGAAGCTTGAATATCTCACTCAGCAATGGAAGCTTGAATCTCTCACTCAGCAATGGAAGCTTGAATCTCTCACTCAGCAATGGAAGCTTGAATCTCTCACTCAGCAATGGAAGCTCACCAAGTGACCTGGGGCCTTGTCACAATCTCTCGGCCTAACCTACCCTTCACAAGATTGTTGTTGTGAGGATTAATTGGAGGGGGGGGTGATATGAAAAGCTGTTCTGGTTCCTCAATGAGGGAGAAAAGCAGGATATAAATAAAGTACGGGAAAGAAAAGCACGTATTGGAGAGTTCTCTCCTAAACCTGTCTCTGGCCCCTCTCATGACACTTCCCAGACATTTGAGAAATGTGTCCAGGCCAAGAACGAACAACAGAAAAAGTATGGATTCCTCTCTAAAAGTACCTATTATACGGCATGACAACAGCTAACATTCTCCCATGGTTTTACCATTATAGGTAACCACAGACCCAGCCTAGCCATGTAGTGTATCATTGGTGTGGAAGCATCCAGTGGAACACTGTGCTTGCTGCATTCCAGGCAATGGATTAACAAAAACCGAGTCAAAGGCATTTTGGAGCACAGAAAGGCTGCCCACAGGAACAACCTCGCAAGTATAGTCTGATCAATCTAGCCAGGACAAAATAAATTAAAATAAAGTGAACAAAGGGTGTCACTAGCCACACAGAACCAATGTTTAACTGCAGTACTTGCAAAGGTTTAACCAAGAAACATGCAAGGCAACAGAGGCAGTTACGTACAAACATGTGCAAATATAACCACAGATCTGGGATTAATATTAAGAGCTTGAGTCTTAAATACGACTTCTTGGCAGGTTCAAGTCTTGGCAGCTCATTTTAGAAATTCAGCAAGTGTCCAGTTCAGAAATTAGGTCTGTTTGCCTGGAGCCACCAATAGGAAAGTTAGTATGGTGTGGTGGTTAGAACGGTGGACTATGATTGAAGACACCTGGGTTCAAATCCCCACTCTGCTGTAAACTCACTAGGTGATCTTAGGCTACTCTCTCTTGACCTAAAATACCTCATAGGTTGTTGAGAAGGTAACATGAGGAAAGGAGGATCACGTATACCTACCCTGACTTCCTCAAAGGAAGGGCAAAATAAAGCCTAACAGATAGATGAGATTAAGTAACATGGATAGCATGTGCCATGCAGAAGAATAGCAGCTCTCTACTATTTGGTGACACACAAAGTCCAGCCACATAGAAAGGAGTAGAGCTTTTATGAAGCATTAGCAATTACAGCACACAGAAAGATGAGGTTTCAAGGAGATATCTCAAAGCTTCCATTTAGCTCATGCAGAGAACCTAGTTCTGTCAGCAAACTGTCCAAGGTTCCTATGATCAGGACGACAGCCAACCAATTGTTTTTAAAAACAATTAGGAAAGCAGTAAGGCACAGTAATGTGTACATAGTACGTAAGACGTCTCTAGTTTAATTCAGTTCTGGCCTTCTGAGTAATCAGAATGCTGCAGAAAGAAACTCCAAAAGATCTTGTTTACGTACTACAGAGCAAGGCGAGTCCAGGAGGACAGGATCATTGCATGTGACCACAGAGAGACCCAGCTGTATTATCTTGAGTCTTACAGCATGACACACACTGAGTTGGGGCAGCACAATGGGGTTAGGGTGCTGAAGCGATCTTAGGAGACTAAGGTTTAAGTCCCCACTTTGACATGAAGCTCACTGGGTAACCTTGGGCCCCACTTGCTCTCTCAGCCTAACCAACCTCACAAGATTTGTTCAAAGGAAGTATGAGATACAAATGCAGAGCCAACTACAATAAAAGCATCCGAAGGCCTAAACTTTTATGCTGAATGCCACACAGAAACTTACTGTTCCTAAACCAGAAGCAGTAGGGAAGTCAGCAGTGACGCATGAAGAGGGAAAAAACAATAACTTCACAAAATGTACTAAGAAGAAAGCCTAGCCTGGATTCAGAACAGACATTTATTCAAAGTTATATGTGTTTGGTTACTTACTTCATTTATACCCTGGCTTCCCCCCCCCCCAATGTGAACCAAAAGAAGATTATGTTGTTTTCCCCTCCTCCATTTTATCCTCACAACAAACCTGTGAAGTAGGTTAGGCTGAGAGCATGTGACTGGCCCAGGTTCAGCCAGCAAGCTTCTACAGCTGAGCAGGAACTTTACCGTGGGCTTCTCAGAACCTGGTCTGACACTCTTCCTATTACACCACACTGCCTCGATGTCTAAAGATGTCTAAAGCTAAGCAGCACAGGAGTTTTCATTTCTACACTGTCAAAAGTTTATAGCTTTTGAGAAAGAAGTGAAAGAGGCAGAGTTAGAACCCTTAGGAGGGGGGGGGGAAAGGGAAACAAGGAAAAATAAAGAAATAAAATAAATAAGCAGGGGAGGGATGTCTTTGAGCAACCACAGGTCAAAGAGAAAACAAGCATGAAGAGCCAATTGTGAAAAAGAAAAGAAAAAATTCAAGTAGGTCTACAAGCTAGAAACCTTAATCCATTTTCATGCCCGTTCTTCATAGAAACACAAATTATGCATCCAAAGTTCCTTTTACCTGGCATATACACTGCCACATGTACACATCCTGTTTTGCCCAGCTGTACCAGAGCTCACAAAAAAGGGTGAAGCACATAAGCAAGTACTTAAGCTGTATCAATGACACTGTAGTATAAATGACAGTCCTCCTATCAAGTTACCATCGCTCAATTTACTGCCCTGCTTATTCGGAGATCTATCCTTCTGACACAGGAAGTCAAGCCCCAAAGCGGCTTATTATACGGACTTTCCACTTACATATTTAGAAACCAATTTACTAAGAGAAAGGAAGGAAGGAACCAAGAGAGGGCTGTGTAGCAGAATGGGCGAAGAAGGGGGGGGGGGAGATTACTTGGACGTAAATCTCACTATGTGCAACAACACGTGTGCCATAGGATTGTCGCCTTATGTGAGAAACCCCGCGTTTGGCAACAGGCAGGGACCCTGAGCCATTCTACCATCACTATTACAAGCGCGCCTCTCAAAAGAAGTTATTCGTCTTGTACGAAGTCTACTTAGAATTCACCCCAAACTATCCACAAACGGGTCACTTTCGCTGCCGTCCTACTGATGAGTAAGTTGACAGGAAAGAGGAGAATGATAATGCCGCTGTATAAAAGCTCACTATCCCCACGCGCTGCCCCCTTTCCTTATTTCTACCCCGACCGAAAATCGCCCCAAACGCTCTGGGGTCATTCCCACGCAGCACCAGCCCCATTCCAGGGCGGCCGTGGGGGGGTGGGGGGATTGAGGGATTCCCCCCTCCCCCATTCGCGGTGCTCAGCTGCCCCCCATCCCACCCCCGGCCGGGGGCCGCCCGCTCAGCTGGGTACCTTCGTCTCCCCCGGCTCCGTCCTGGCCTCTCCGCTCCCTCCCCCCACCCTGTCCCGTAACCGTCCTTTTGACGGGAAACCGCCGGCTGCCTCAGCTCAGCCCCGCCCACCCAACACCACCCAGTAGGAGAGCGGGAATCTGTCCTAGCTCCGCCCCACCTCTGGCAAACGGCTTTCCGCGGTCCCAGGTTCTAACCCCACCTCTCCCACGCTCTTCTCACACACACCCCGCCCCCGCCTTCTCTAAGGCGTTGCTTCCGCCTTCTTCCCTCCTCCCTTCCCCGCACGCCCGTCTTCAGACCAATGAGAAACTGGAGGCGGGGCGGAGTAACCGAATAATCTTCCCAGGTGGGCGCTCCTTTCTCTGGAGTGCGGCCCCAAGAAAGGAGTGAGTGAACTTCGTCGGAACAAAGTCTGAGTCCAGTGGCACCTTTAAGACCAACAGTTATTCCAGAGGAAAAGGGTGGGGGCAGCCATTAGGAAGGGTCACGCAGCGCCAAGACGCATTTGCAGAGCTGAAATTGGATCAGGTGGCCAGCAGTGTTCCCTCTAAGCTGAGTTAGCGTGAGCTAGCTCACAGTTTTTTTAGCTTTCAGCTCACACATTTTTGTCTTTGCTCAGAAAGGATGGCTCCAGAGCAAACTAATTTATGCAGTAGCCAAATCTCTCGCTCACAAATTTAATGCCAGCAGCTCACAAAGTAGAATTTTGGCTCACAAGACTCCACAGCTTAGAGGGAACATTGGTGGCCAGTGAGATCAGTGAATGGCAGCAAATTTGTCCTTGGCATCTGGGACTTGTGCTGCTGCTCTTCTGCTTCAATCCACTACAACAAACATGAAGATGAACAATCTAATCGAAGCAGGAGATGGGCCAATTGAACCCCTTAATAACACTGAAGACCAGTTTCTGCACAGTTGGTGGATAACTGCATGGGGACCAGTGTTCCCTCTAAGCTGAGTTAGTGTGAGCTAGCTCACAGGTTTTTAGCCTCTGGTTCACACATTTTTGCCTTCGCTCAGGAAGGATGGCTCCAGAGCAAACGTATGTATGCAGTAGCCAAATTGCTCAGTCACAGCTTTAATGCCAGTAGCTCATAAAGTAGAATTGTTGCTCACAAGACTCCACAGCTTAGAGGGAGCATTGATGGGGATGCTGCCAGCCAAACTAGTACAGACACAGTGTGTCCATACAGGAATAAATAATTTCTCCTCCCATGCACCACCTATTGTTTGCCCAGCAGGGCACTCACACACTGACATATCTTTGTATCCTAACTATAGGTACCTCCAAAACATCAGACCTTTTCCGTCCTTCAATGTCAAGTAATAATCCAGGATCAATATATAGTCTGTGTTCTTTCCCAATTTCCTTCTTTTTTTACATTCCAAATGTTGACACAAATTGTAAATGTGTGTGTGTGTGTAGTATGGTTAGATTACAGAATTGATAGTCATGTGTGCCTTTCCCTCAGGATGGAAATAACATGTCAGAATATAGTGTATCAAAACCTAAAGTATTTAAGCAAAACAAAAGCCAAACTGGTCACTTACTTTTGAACAGCTCAGACACTGGTAATGGCATGTGGTTAAACAATATTTGTGAGTCAGTTCCCAAAGGTTTAGAAAAATAAATAGACTGAGGGTCTATTTCCTTTCTTTTCAATTCAGGCTCCTTTCATATTGTCCTCGTCTGAGATCCCATAACAGTAAATTTTTTTCCTGGCTTATATTTCTTATTTATATATCGCTGGAAACATAACAAGTGCACACACCTACCCAAACAGTGAAGTTCTGAGGAATTTAGAAATTCTAGCAGCAAAGAGGTCGCACCCCTCCTTAATGATTCCTGTAATACTTATTTCCCACTGTTTATTTTGGAAGCTCACAGTAGCAAATGTAGGGCTCTAAGGTTACTAGATTTGGCATGAACAATTTTTTTGGGGGGGTAATTATTTCTCAGAGCAGCAAGTTGAAGTTAGCCAGCCCACACACTTGATGTCTTCTTCTAAGACTCCAGCACATGCCTGCTGTATGTTGTACAGTACCATGTATGTTTCCAATTATTAGACACCTTCGTGGCCCTTGTAAGGGCAGAAAGGCAAGGTACAAATCTTTTAAATAAATAATAAACAGTGGATCACATGTAATTTTGAGATTGGAGGTAATAATTTGTCACTAACTTTAACACATAGTTAATTTATTTTCCATTTAAAAATGTGTGGCAAATAGTCCATCTCTTTGAAGACATATGGTGGTGTACAATTCCTAGTGATGTGTGGACCACCATTAGTATTGCCAGTGACCACTATTAGTACTGCTTATCAATACGACATCACCAGGCCTCATGCCATAACATTACCAGGGATTGCCCCATGATATCACACTGGCCCCTAATTCTTTTTTTATAAATATACTTTAATTGGGTTTTCACTATAATGCACACACCTATAACATATCTTAAATAAACATTCCATCCAGTTAACACCCTATAGTACAAATCTATATATCTAATACTGAAGTTGCCCCCTGGTGTGCGGATATCTAAATCCGCGCACCGGGGGCAGCTGGGGGGGAGGGAGAGTTTTGTGCACACATGGGGCGGGCCCCAGGTGTGCACAAAAATCTAAAAAAAACCGTTGTCTTACTTCAAATGGAATATCCTTTAGCGTTCTGATGGTATTTTCCTCCACTTTCAGGGGTATTCCAGCGACTGCTTTCAGGATTGCATCCCTCACATGCTTCTTTGAGAATCTTACGACAATTTCCCCAGGCAGATTATTTTTCTTTATATAGCCTGAATATGATCTGTAAACCACATCCATATCGCTCAGCAACGATTCCGTCTTCATTTCTGTCACTGGGGCTAGTAATTCACTCATCACTTCTTTAAGATTCTCCCCCCTGTTCTCTGGCATGCCCTGGAAGCGAAGAATCATGTTGGCCTTTTCCATTTGCACTTGCAACAGTTGATCTTCCATGGAGGTTTGTTTCCTTTCCAGCTTTTGCACTTTTTCCTTCAGCTTCTGGGTAGTTGTAGCCACTTACTTTACCTTCTCAGTATCTTACTTCATTATTTGCAGCATATCGTTTATCTGGGTTTGTTGTGCAGTAATACTTTGAGTCACTATAGACATCTGTTCCTTGAAGTTATTCAGCTGTTCCAGCAGAGGGCGCATATATTCCACTATAGACTTTGCCACCTCACTGGTAGCTTCCGGTTTCGGGCTCTCAGACCCTTTCGCTTTCAAAAGTTTTTCTCTGTCCTTCTTCCCCGCCATCTTTATCGTTTGTTTACTTTCACAATTTTTAAAAAAGTCTCTGAATGTGCACTTGACTGCTTAGATTCGCTTTGGTAAGTACTTCTAGGCAGTTTCCTTCGCGTTTTCTTCTGCTCCCCCCCTCAATCGCGCAAAAGTTCGTGTGCATGGAAGGCATCCCTCCCACGCTCGCCTTTTTCCCGTTCGGTTGGATGGGGCGGGGAGCTATCTTTTTCCCTTTGAAGAACGCTTCAAAGCTGACTCACGTTCATCATTGGTCATTCGACCTTGCTTTCAACTTTCATTTCTGCTGCTCGAACTCCTACGCTTGCCCCGGTCAGCGTCACTATGTCCATTCGGTCTCACAGCACGGAGAACCGTCGGAACAAAGAGGCGCCTCAATTCTCCGGCATTTCGCCATCGAACGTTCCATAGCCAGGGCCCCTGTGGGGGGTAAGCGAGCCTGCGCACCCCCTCCTTCGGCTGGAGTACAGCTTTACCCCAAGGAGGTCTGGGAGGTGAGCCTGCTAGCACGCCGCCATCAACCGGAAGTCCCATTATTTCAATATTTTCATTGTCTACCTCCCAACTGTTCAAGTCAGGGTTGTCCTTTAACAAAATTAATAACATCTTTAATAAATTTTACTTTAGGAAAATACTATAACATCCAATATTCTCCATTCATTTCTTAAGTATTTTCCATACATTGGTTTCTAATATTTTTTATCACTATGCTTAATCATTTTTCCATACAACATACATACCAATCCCCAAAATTTACTATCACATACCTAATTATTCATTCCAACATTTACGTAATATTAACTTAACCCTCTTCCATACCACTTAATTACCTTCTATAACTCTGCAATCTCCTTTTTACCACCACCCTTTAATTTATGCCCTCTCACACTTACCACTATAATCTGTAAACTAACAACACATTAATCAGGTCAATTCATTCCAGTTTACACAATTTCAGAAGGAAAAACAAAAAAACTACATAAACATCTCAGTTTCTAGCCATTTTCTTTTTCCATTTTGGGCCATTAAATTTGGGGTATTTTGCTAACCCTCTTCTTTAAACTTAAAGATATATGTACTCACAGTTCTTTTGTTTGAAATTTCCTTCTGTATTGCTTTGTTGCTGTAATTGTAATTCTTACTAATTCAAACATAGATAAAATGGGAGGCAGCGGCTGTGAGGAACATGGCGGCCATGCTCCCCTTCGCAAACCGCTCCTGCTTCGGGGCAAGAAGTGGACACACACACCCGCATTGCCAGTCACGGGAGGGGCCACAACAGAAGCCCCCTGCTCCAGGTCTCTCTCCGGGCGGAGCTCTCCCGGAGACCGGGAGGCCCCAAAAGAAGCAGAAAGGAATCGGGCGTTTTGGAGCGATCCGAAGACCGCCCGTCACCGAGCCGTACTGACTTAAATGGGGAATAATACCATAGTCCACCTTCCAAAGCAGCCGTTTTCTCTAGGTGAACAGATATGTATCACCTGGAGATAGGGTTGCCAGGTCTTACCTGGCTGCCGGGGGGGTGATCCCTCTTTGTGCCCTGGAGTTTTTGGTGCATGCACAAAGCACACGCACTGCAATAACCCAGAAGTGACATCATCGCACAGGGCACGTTGCAGCGGACACTCTAGCATTTGGAGGAGAAACACTATGGTAACCATAGAGTTTTTTTGCCAAACGCTAGACCATCCCCCCTTCCGCAACGTGCCCTGCACAATGATGTCACCTCCTGGTGATGTCATTGCGCCAGGCACTTTGG